TTAAAACGATCGCCTGTCTTCATATAATTAGCCCAAATCAAGAGTAAATCAAATTAAGAAGTAGCACGAAAATTCAAATTCCTTTCATTCATATTAAATAGAAATAACATTTTTTGATAAAAATAAAAAATCTTAAACTTAGAATTTAACTTTCTATTTCTATATATGTCTATTCTATATATGGCAATATACACTCTATGAGTCTCGAGAAAAGAAGTCTTTTAACTTCCAAACGCGGATAATTCTGGACACACATGGATTTGAAGGCTAAAATTTTGACGGTGAGCTGTGAACCATCATTATTGATTAGCCAGGCTAAAGAGTTCCCGTTTCAGAGACTAAGGTTCAATTGGTAAAACGGATGGCGAACTGTCTCTTTTAAAAGTGTAGCTATTTTTGTCTCCTTATAGTTACTCTAGCCAAAGAAGAACAGTTTCTTTTGTATGCTTCCCAATTTCCTGTTTCAGACTGCTAAAAGACAGTTTCATATCCTTGCACTTTCAATTTATACAATTTCCTTGCATAATCCTTGCCTGGAATGTCTCAGTATTCTATCTGTTGCTTTGTCAATCGGCTTTCTATGATGTTGCTCTATTAGTTTATTGGAATCCGATTTCCTTAACACAAACCTCTTCAGATCTCAGGATCTTATGACAGCATTTCTCTTCAAGCCAGGCTAGAATTGAAGTAACATGCACAGATGTTAAATAACTGGCGGGCTTCATTATAAAGGCTACCATGTGCGTAAAAATAAAATTTCTCCTGGGTTTCTTATCAGAATTGTCGTTTACAGGATTCGTGTTATTTATGCAGGCTGGGAGGAGTATTGTTAAAGTATTCAGCCACTCATTTCGATGACCAATATTTCTTAGTTTTTTTTAGACCTGATGTCAAATGCGATTTCGTATTTCAAAGCCCCAGGTCTGCTGCTCCATCAGTCTTTATTAGATGTCTTTTTCAGGACCTTTATAATGTTGTCATTGTTTATAATATTGTTATTATAAGTAATATAGTAACAAATCACTCGATCTTCTGAAGGAATAAGGCTCTGTCGTGGTCGCAATAACTCTTCCACGTACAAACGCTGCGCTCCGCTACGAAGCACCAAAATGGCACACCTTACTACGACCTTTTGCAGGGACATATAACCGGATATTCAATAATAGTTCACAACGACCACAAAAGAAGCGAAATATCACAAGTCTGTACTCCTTTAAAGAAAATGCATCGCCTCAAATCAGTTTCAAAAACATCAAAGATATTAACTTTATTGAGTTCACTTTATTTATTTTTCCTTCTTGCGACATGGCATCCATAGTTGATACAACCTTTTACAATTGTGTAAGACAAGATCATATCAAAGTTTTATTCAATTTCGCCATAGCTTGCAGGAATTAATTTAAGTGCACAAAAAGACTGCAATCTCTTGCTTGGTAAATATCACTTATGGCGCGCATTGGATAGTTTTTACTTGTTCTTTTCAAACCAAATCTTGTTTAAATCCCTTGGCTTTATTTTATTATTATAACGAATATCATTACAAGTGGTTTGAATTTAAAGATATGTTCAGGTGGGAGAGCAAAGCGATGCTCAGTAGGTCAAAGACCGAAGATTCATCCATAGGTGGCCGGTGCCACTATTTTACCAATTGGTCCTCATTACAGACGGTTTCAGAACATGAACATGACGGTTGAAGAATCACGTTCTGTCAACATCAACAAAATCAACAATGTAAAAATTCACATGAGCATTGGTATGGTCTGATTCGCTTCAAATATAAATATAAGATAAGCTAACATGGGACCTTCCTGGTCTCTATTGAGGGAATATAGGGTAGGTCGTACCAACCCATTAAAAATCGCTCTTCAAACCTGTTCCTGGGGGGTCATCCACAGATCATGACTGTTGTCTTTCTGCATTGAAATGCTTGAATGGTCATACTCATCTTGAACAACCAAATCAATTTCATACCTACCATAATTATACTTTATAATACATATTGACGATAATGTGAAAATTGAAGCACTGTAATAATATATAGGAAACAGAATGTCAATATCGTAACAAAACGTAATTCAATTACATAAGCAATTGTCTCAAGCTATACGCTAAAATGATTACAGTATAAAACACACCCAATATATGGTGGCTGATAACGGCACTTAGCATATTGACATTTCTTGCCCAAGAAATTGAAGGTAGAGCTAGCACAGATGTTGTAAAAGAAAACAAAAGTTTATGATTTAAACGTTCAAATTGTAAACTTTGGGACATCAAAGCAATTTTGTGTAAAGTTTTAAATTTCAAGAAGCGAGAAAGGTGAGTGGCCGTTATCAGCCACCATAGCATAATGTTTCAAGACGATTTTTAATGAAATTAATAATTCAGAACCAATGTACGAGTGCCTTGAAACAATAAGTTAAGAAGTGCGAGCTACTCGTAATCAGTCATGCCTGTCTAAACTACTCACACGGGCATTAAAAGGAAACTGAATGCTTATGTGATTAATCAATCAGTATATACAGTAATTACTATGTTCAGTGGTATTTAATTTACTATACAAAGCTAATAATGGATTTTTTTCTCTCTCTCTTGCAAGTGTGAAATGTAAGAACTAATTATATATGTCATTGTGTTTAAAGTTCCTTTTTCTGTGGTTGCATTTTCTTTTGTCAGTGAGGCAGGTCATCTGGATTGAGATAATTAATCAAACGTCCCTTGTTTCAGACTGTGAGAAAATTAGAGTCAGTAACGAGTTGATGAATTTTGAACAGTGTCCCACAGAAAACATGGTGCAAAAACAGCATTTTGTAATTAATGTTATAATACCAAATTTAAAGTCAAATACCATTTTCAGCACATTTTACAATTATAATTATAGTCAAATTGAGCGCACGACATCGCACACTGCAAACATCGCAGTTGTCGCAAGTACGGATCAGCTGGTAATGTTCTTCTTTCGATTACAAATAAATAGGAAACTTGAGCATTCGGAACCAGGTTGATTGCAGTAACCAGAAGCATTCTCCGACATGAGCAATCTAATGGCGAGATGAAATGCGATGCTTTGAATCAACCTGATCCCACCTATACTCAAACAGCTTATATGTAGCACACGGTGACGCAGTTTAACTCATTATGGCGTAGATCTTTGACCGTTATCATTATTATTATTTCATTTCTTAGAATAATATTTTAATAAAATATCATAGTTGACTGATTGACGGTATTGCGTTGGTTATTTGCCCAGTAAGGTGTTGTTAGTTAGAATACGTACACTGTAAATCCTTTTTCTTTCCCAGAAGATTCTGAACAATACAGAAACCAAAATAGACGCAGTTTGGTGCTGGTTATTGACCATTATCATTAGCTCTGCATGGTGTTAACTTTAACATTGACAGTCCGTTCTAATATTAATTGGACAATGCAGAAACAAAAATAGACGCAGTTTGATGCTGATCATTAACCAATATCATTAGCTCAGTAAGGTGCTGGTAAGAACATTGAAACCCCCTTTCATTTCCCAGTTCGTTAAGATGAAGTAATAACAATATTGATATATTTTATGTAACTATTTCTATATACTCTGTTTCCGACCAGAAATTTAATTAAGAAATCTCATAGAAATCGTATGTATGGTGCCAATTTACTTTTCTTATCCTATATAATAGTTTTTGTTAGTATTGTGAATTCCTAGGGTCATTTGGTTAAAGCTCCATGTAAGCTTTTATTTCTGAATTTCATTCCTGTATTAGTGTCGCGTTTATATAATAAAATGATTCTCTTTAGTGGGTGTTTAGTTATTGTTGGAGTGAACGAAGGGGGTCTTCTAAGGACGGATATTTCTTACGATCTCCGTGGCATGGTGATCTGCTAGAAGCCTTTCGACAGCGGTTATAAACATCTTACAATGGAATACTATTGCTGAACATGTCTGAAGTTAGCAAGTCTATCCAGTGTTCCGCAACCATCGGAAAACATTAAGCAGAGGTTTACTTTGTGACATACTCGAAGAATCATCATAGAATTATCGTCTTGATTCGAGATTTAAGACATTTGCCAATGTTGTAAGGTTCTACAGGTAATCGAAAAAATTGACATTAGCATAGAAATAAAGGGAATACTCGTTTTTACTGTGTGTATGTGGCTGCTCTTAATAAGGATTAGCTTTGGTCAAGTCGTGCTTTTTACATAATAAAATTAAAAATATATCCGATAATCTTACGCAATGTTCTATGCGCCACCAAATTCCTAGTGAAAAATTAATTCTTTATTTCAACTGACATTTACATTCTTCTAATCTATTTAACAATTTTTTTTTTTTTTTTACAGAATTTCCACTTTTAGTTTGAAGAATAGAATTAAAGTCTGATATGGACCACTCTTTGGACTGTGAAGTAGTGATACAATATTTAAACGAGAGATTCTTCTGTTGCTCGCGTCTGCAGTCTGTGTATCGATAGGCCTTTATTCGGTCGTGAGACAACGCAAGAATTGGTGACGTTAAAATAATTGTGTACCATATTTGGTAATGGTACCAAAGGGTGTATTTTGCCGAGCTTGGTATAGGCTTATATAATCAAATTCAATCACAGACATGATGTGAGGTGAATTAAAGTTATTGCTAACATTTTCAGATCAACGTTTGAAAAACACACTTTTTAGTGACGTGGCAAAACTTGTGTACTTATACGTCCATCAAGTTTGAAACCGACGTTGGCATTGACGGCATTCTGCATCAAAACTAGTTATTTCGGAATTTATTGGAAAAGTGATTAATAGAAACAAACAACACGTGCAGTTTCATCTGTATGGAATTAAAATGGTTGAAATAGCAAGATTAGAAATAAAAGGTTAAATGATTGATCTGAAATCTGGATTCCATTATCTCCAAGGGATTACCATGCTAATATTCCAATAAACAGGTGTATTCGATGGGTTTATCTCTGTATTAGTCCATGATTAACATTCAGTTATAGATATAGTTGAATCAGTGAAACATGGAAATATCATTCTGGATTTTACTCTTTTTAGGAGGTAAGTAAGTTAATATTCATTAATCTTAAGTCTAACTATCGATTTGGTTTCATCTGTCTAGATGATAGATTTGTATTCATTTTGATTTGAGATAAGGTTACGAAGAATGTCATTCGAAGGAAATCTGCCTATAGAATTGGAAGCTGGAAAAGAAATAATAATAAAACATGGCTATCGAGGACAGTTACTGGCACGTCTTTACCATAATGTCACAAAGTTATTTTCTGCTCTGACTTATCACGTAAGACACAAGGCGCTATACATAACAATCAAAAGGCTTCACCTCTGCACCATTTTTGGACAATTTTATCAAAATGTTACAAGTTCCGAGTATTGTTGCATATCTCTGTTACTAAAAATATCACTGTTGAAATGTTGGATATGTTCATCAGGGATGACAAACTGTTCAGTATATACAACTCCAGCAGTAGTTCATATTATAGAACCTAAACGAATTTAGAAACAACCTGGCTTTGATTGATACGCTACAGAAAATTATTCATTGGGCTTAGCGAAAACCACATTTCAAGAACTTTACTTCACGTTCAACATGCGTGCAGAAGGTTTGAATGAAACCAGTCTGGATGTTATTCACTGCTCAGTTTGGTTATTTTCCGTGATCAGACGTAGACTCTACAGTTTACATTTATCGTGCAGTACGATACCTTGATGCTACTTAAAACCACATCCGCCATGTTCTTATCTGGTCTACTTAAAAATATAAATGGAAGCATTAAAAGGTTTCCGATCAGTGACAAGATAGAGCTGTTTGGTTTACATTATATTGACTAAATGTGGAATAAAATCCTATTTATACGTCGTTTTATCCAGGGAATTGACATGCATTAATTGTACGCGGATATCAGACGTTCCGCTAACTGCCTTTATAAGATCTTGTTAATTATGGGGGGAGTCTCGAGACAAAAAGCCTATTTCCGAGGACAGTTATGCTTGACTTGATAAATGACTGAACCAAAGGTGTTACATTTATCACTGAACTGACAAATATGATATCTTTAGTGTCAAGTTTGAAAGCAGATTTCCGTGTTAGAATGGGTTAATAGCTTTGACTTACTTAATGATCAGATTCCAGATTGAAGTAGTCAGTATAATGATAGAGAGGTTTGAGCTTTAGATATCATGAGAGCTAGGAAGCACTAGCGATGTTTATGTTTTTTTTAAACGAGTCCGACGTCAAGTTTATCTACAATTTCTGACTGAAAATTGGGCCTACGTTCTCAATAGCAGCCTGGAAAACTGCCATTTATGCATTTTTATCGAACGTCGGATTCCCAAGTAGAAAGCAGAAATTGTGCTTATAATATGATATAAAATATTTAGGTCAGTCTTCGTAATCATATTTAGTTCGTTAGCATAACGCAGTACAGCATTAAATTTCTCTCAGCTAAAAGCACGATAAGCAACTTCCTCAAACTTGTTCATTATATAGTATTTCTATCAGCGACTTGAGAAATATCCCCCTTTTTCCATCTTGGATTACGTAAATAATATATATTTATTCAAATATTATTTTTCAGCAAACTTGCTTTATTACATAGAATGTGTATGTCTACAAAATACATCATCAACCTGTCTGACGTCATTCACAGAACTGAGAAAACACGTGACGAGTATACAAGTGACGGATTTACTGATTCCGTCTAAAAATAATACAAATCATAGGGTTGTGTGTAGGTACGTATGTCAAACGATCGAATGTGGCTGATGGCAATAAATCATTTACCGGCCTATTATGTCGTCAGTCAGGTCTCTGAAACTCAATTATTTACATCTTACATGTTTAATTCCGAGGTTCGAGTCTATGACTTCCCAACCACCTTCTTCTGAAGAAAATTGACAGGGTTTTACACATTAGCAAGCCCGGCATCAAATCTACTATCGATGTTAAGTACACAAATAGTTTTGCGAATTTTTTCTTAGATAATTTCAGTATTACATTTGTTGCAAATGTTTTCTGTTTTCGTGTCGAATTATCAATTGGATTATAAATGCAAATCTGGAAGCGTCGTTAGGCCTACTTGTTTTTGCCTACAATGTGGAATTTTGACCCGATATCTTCAAAAGTTATATAATGCTAATAAATTAAATAAAAAACAATTATAGTTAACAAGTCAATGTTAGACAAGGAATATCCCAGAATTTCTAACATATAGAGATTCATTATTTATCGAATAGAGCATATTAAAAAAAGAAGTTAGAACAAAAACCACACGTGTTTTGTATGGAGTTTGATAATTTGTCAAACTATCCCACCGCTATTCAGCTCATCTATATTTGATGAGATATTGGAACAAGGCGTCTTTTTAAAGGTCATAAAGAATTGCTTCGTCTTCCCTGAAAAAGTTAAGAGATGAGACAGGCCATCCAGCTTCCAACTCCTGTTACTTAAAATCTTTAATATTCGCCACTAGCTCGAATTCCAAAAAAGAATAGAATGTGAGTTGCCCTGAGCTTTGCTACTACTACACAGTGAAATATATGATCATATTAAACAAATGATATAAAAGCTGTGATTTAAACCAGAGTTAGATAATAAAGATATATTATCAATATTAATAACCAACTAGGGATATTATAACATCCAACAGCTCTCTAGACTATATCTAAATTCATTATTATGATTTAAAATCGCTGGCAGCACAATCTTAGAAATTTAGAAGCAAATTCTATAGATGGTTTTATTGCGGAAAGGAAACTTTAAACTTCTGGATATTACCTGGTGAAAAATAAGTACAATGTATATATTTTATCCTAGGAGTGTGTGTATGGTGAGATATTGTTGTATGTGAGACAGTTATGTTGTATTTGGCGAGATTAGTTTGTATGTGGTGAGATTATGTTGTGTGTGGTAAGATTATTTTGTATGTTGTGAGATTATGTTGTGTGTGGTGAGAATGTTGTACGTAGTGGAATACTGTCGTGTGGTGTGATTGTGTTATATTTGGTGAGATTGTGTTATATTTGGTGAGATTGTGTTATATTTGGTGAGATTGTGTATTATATGGTGAGATAATTTTGCATCTGGCGAGATTATGTTGTGTTTTGAGATTACCGCGTTGTCGTATGTTGTGATATTATTTAATAGGTGGTGAGCTTATGTTGAGTATTTGTTGTGTTTGTGTTGTATGTGGTGAGATTATGATGTATGTGGGGAGATTATGTTGTGTTATCTCATATGTGGTGAGATTATGTTGTATTTGGTGAGATTATCTGGTATGTGGTATGGGTGTATGTCGTGGTTTTTTGTCATATGTGGTGAGATTATGTTGTATTTGGTGAGATTATGTCGTATCTGTTGAGATTGTCTGGTATGTGGTATGTTTGTATGTCGTGGGTGTATGTAATATGTGATGAGACTATGTTGTATGTGGTGAGATTGTCTTGTGTATGTGTATGGATTTTGTTGTATGCGATAAGATTATGTCGTTTGTCTTAAAATTTTGTAATTTGAGAGAATGAGAAAATAATGTATGTGGTGAGATTGTCTCGTATGTGGTAAGATTGTCATGCATATGGTGAAAATATGATGTATTTAGGGATAATATGTTGTATGTTATTTTGCAATAGGTGGTGAGATTATGTTGTATGTGGTGAGATTGTATGTGATATGTTGTGATATTTTGTAAGATAGATTATGTTGTATGTGGTGAGATAGTCTGGAATATGGTTAGATTATTATGTTGTAAGAATATATTGCATGATCTGAGATTGTGTAATATGTAGTGAGATTATGTTGTATGTGGTGAGATAGTCTGGAATATGTTTAGATTATTATGTTGTAAGAATATATTGCATGATCTGAGATTGTGTAATATGTAGTGAGATTATGTTGTATGTGGTGAGATTGACTGGAATATGGTTAGATTATTATGTTGTAAGAATATATTGCATGGTCTGAGATTGTGTATTATGTAGTGAGATTATGTTGAATGTGGTGAGGAGATTGTCTTGTATATGTCTAGATGTGATGTATGTGGTGGGAATATGTTGTATGTTGTGAGATGTTGCAATATGTGGAGAGATTGTCTTATGTGTGGTGAGACTGTGGTGCATGTGACTAGATTATGTTTTATGTGGTGAAGATTATTATGTAAGTAGTTGTTATGATAATAGGGCTAAGAAATAAGGAAAAGCCAACCGAAGCTATGGCAAAAATAAACTAGAAAAAAGTATTGTTTCAAAATTCCAAAGATCACACAATAAAAAAAACAAAGAAACATAGACAATGGAAATAAAGAGTGATTATTGTAATTCAGCATAAATTTCAGATAATTTTGACCCTGTTTCCAATGAAGCTAGATTTCTTCACTCCATAAATTTAAAGTTAACGGTTTCTCGGCATGCAACAGAACAAACAACACGTTGAATTGAAGGGTGATTGATTGCTAGGCGGAGTGCTTTGACGTGTCATTATTCAATGACTATTCTCTCTATAGTACTTTTTTTTACCTTGAATGGAATTTTCCTGTCGATTTTCTGAGGAGTGCGTATTGATATTATGTCCTCTGTTGTAATGAAATGCATTCTTAGTTGCATGAGACGGAGTATTTGAGTTGAACTCACTGCAATGTTTTCAAACATTATATTCTGGTTCTCTACTCCGAATTGGACTAATAAAGGGGACGCGGAACCTTAATGTTTAGCATTCTTCAATTACATTATATTAAATAATTCAGAAGTTTCATTGTTAGAAACATATTAAATATATTGTACTCTGGAGAATTTAAAAACTTCGTTCCCAACTGAAATGTTGACCTAGAAATCACTGGCTGGAATCAGTGGCTCAACTGCCATAGGTACTGGTTGAACCAAGTCTACCGACCCCCGCCCCTAAGGAGGCCACCAACCCCAGAAAAAAATCAGGAAAGCATAATTTATATTAAAAATATTCCTAAGATCGACGTCAGACGACGTAAGTCTACTGGCCCCAGCGCATCTAGTTGAGCCGCTGGCTAGAATATGGTCAAAAATTGATTCTTTGCCGAGGTATTTGTAGAAATTGACTATCTTTGTTGAATGACCATTGAAAAATAATTTTAATACCATTATCACAGTTTGAATCCACGAGCTGGACATTCGTTAGTATTTCTAGTCAGAAAACAAATATAATTGCAGCTTGTAGTAGGTTTAAACACTGTAAAAGGATTATTATCTGTTAAAGGGATGTTTTCCTCTATTTTTGTATTAATTTCAGGTTATATGAAGAATATCGGTCGTGTAAATATACGGGTTTTGAGAAATGTTACAACGAAATACAAAAAGAAATGACAATTTTGGATAAAGTTTTTGATCCAATATGCAGCAAACAGTTTCATGGTAAGATTTTTTTAAATTTATTTAACCATACGTTTATCTTATGAGACATATATGTGAAATGACCACAATTTTGGAAAATCACAAGAAATGGTGTGAAAGTCCAGGCTTGGTCGGCGATTTTTGTCGCAGACTTGAATCTTGAGTAAAATCTCGCGTGTGCCCAAGCTTTCACGACAAGATTATCGCGTTGCGTTTGATTTATAATATCAAACAAGTTTGATAATTGTCTCCGATAGTTTTATCTTCCGCAATATTTGTCCGGACTTTCAATTTGCTGTATTTACCTAAACGTATCCTTTCCCGCTCCCACAGGATGGTGCCATGCGTTCATCCTATTAGAAATTTCAACTGAAATTTGTTTATTTCAGATTTCGTGACAGGGACAAATTGTATACATCGTTATCGTCGACATTATAAAGTTTGTCATCGTAAAAAACATAACAAAGATTCACATGTTCCTTCATATCGAAGCTTACATTCTAAACATCGTAAAGATAACATACATTGCAAGTAAGTATTGTTATGACAGCTTACATTCTAAACATCGTCAAGATAATATCCAATTCAAGTTAGTATTGTTATGACAACTTGCATTTCAAGTACGTATTGTTAAGATGATAACATACATTACAAGTGAGTATTGTAAGGATGATAACTTACATAACAGGTATCTTATGCTTTGATGATGATTTACATTAAAGTAATATTTTTAGGATGATAACGTACATAACAGGTATGTTTTATAAGAAGGGTAACTTACATTTAACACGTCTAGAGTATATACTTTGCATATAAGTATTTTTAAAAAGTAAGTATTGATAGGATACCAACTTCCATTTCATAACTTCCATAACTTCCCTTCCAAAGATCGTTAAGACAACATAAGCATTACAAGTAAAATTTGGAAGTACTTTTGAGGATGTTAATTAACATTGCAAGTAAGTATTGGTAAATTTGTAAGGATATTATCTAACAATATAAGTAATTATTGTTAGGATGATAACTCGCAATCCAAGTAAGTATTGTAAAATGTGATAGAATGGCAACTTACACTACAAGTAAGTATTGATGGTTTTTAATATTTCAACTAAATATTCTCAGAGTTATGGCCTAAAGTCAAGACATACTTTGCAACAAATGTCATATTCTTAATTATAATAGTTAAATTTGCCACACTTGGACGAGATTTCGAATAACGTAACTGTCTTGCTTGTACGGATTTTTTATAGTTAAAATAAGACGAGATAATTATTACTCACCGTCATTGAGATTTATTTTTTGACCTTGAAAATCGCTTCCGTTACAATGTAGTGTCTATGATATTATCAATAAAGCTGTGTTATTGCTGTGTTTTGTCTCAAATTGTTTCTAAATCTGTTATATTGATTACTCCAACGATTTCTAGGTCTGAATTTCTCGCGCTTACTGTAATAAAGGAGCTGAAAATATGCCGTTAGCAAAATTTGGCTAAGTAAATTATAAAGATTGGTCCAAGATTGACAAACTAAATTAAAGGTTGGGAACTTTTCTTCACTGACTTCAAAACAAACGTATAATTTGGACATTCGTTGACTTTGGCCAATGTTATTGAATGAAGTATAGTAATTCATTTCGGACATCGGTAGTATTTCAAATTTCAATGGTGGTCATTTTGTATATGTTCTTTCTATTCCAGCATTACTAAAGACTATATAATGTGTCTGTATAGTGTGACAGCTCTAGGCTGTTCCATTGATGTGGCAGAAAATTATTTCACAATACTAAACCAAAGCCTTTCAACTGCCTTTAAATATAGAGGACAATTGTGTATTCTTAACCATCCATTAACAGCAATTTCAACTACGTCATCATCAAAATTGATGATGTCACATTCTGTGTGGACTACGCCATCAATGTCTGTGTATAGTAATTTAGGCAGTAGAAATTCAGCAGTGACATTTAGTTCTAGATTGTGTAATGTTTTGTATATTTTTGTATATTTCTATTTAATATTGTCATGTTTAGATAAATAAAAGCTATTAAAGTATTATTGTATATAAAATAATGAAGACTTTTTCTCAATTAAACCATTCCAGATAGACCTATTGGCTATTGAAAATTACTTTATTTTTGTTGCAATTTCCCTATACGATACGAGGTCTTCTGTAGTATTTTGTAGTGATCCTTGGCTTACTTTGCAAACCAGATTTGCTGACATCTTGCTGATATCTTATTTGATACAAGGACACAATTAATAAATTATTTTGGTCTTTACCATAGAAGTATTAATGACCGATGGATGGAGTTCTGTCCCCTGTATTATCCTTACTATTATCTAGGGTGGCGCTCGATTGGAGAGTTCTGCCTGTTCCAGTTCTGTCCTCAATCGAACGGATGAAACCAGATAATGTCATTTTTCCTCCTATTCCTTTCTCTGCCATGTTGAATTCTGTCTGCCCCTACTACTTTTTGGCACACGCGGAAAGCGTTCTGAACTCAGTTACAACTTGTTTTATTGAACGTCCGGTTGATTCCATGAATCTCGAAAGCGCAGAACTCTCCATTCGAGCGGCCCAACTTGATATTCTAGTTGACATGAAATTAGTTAGTATGGTAACTGCTTTAATATTTGCCGTAATATGATTTTAAATCAGGAGTATTACCAGGAAGCTTCTGCATTGTTCATTGTTTCAGCGTTTTTGTAATTGTTTGTCCATAATCCAAAAGCCGGACATACGATCTAAACATCATATCGCATCCACAGAATTCCGTAAGCCGCTCCTGACACAGCCGACAACGACATTGATCCTGGTCATATGAAAATTTATTGATATCATTTAAATCTCGAATGGACGAAAACCACATCTTCAGCAAAGATCTTGCTTCAAATAATGCCATCCAATCTTAATTGATGTCCTTAATAAGCTTACTTTTCATTCTATTCTTCCAACTTGAATAAACAACCGAGTACACTAACGATCCGAACCGAAAAGGAAAACCCCAATTCCAAAACAACATTTTGGCGAAACATTGATAGCAACTAATGAACTTTACACATGAGGAAGTAGGCTATATCAACCATAAGTGAGTAAGCATTTTATAATGAAAAGTGGTATCAACTGTCTAGAGTAAGCATACCCTGTCTGTCACTACACCCGCCATAGTTGCTCTACATACACAACAAACTACAAGTAGGAAAGCACCAACAAAAGAAGTAGCGATTTGACGACGAATTTCAAGGGACGTAACTGACGCACAAATCCACGAGGAAGCATTTAATGATGAAAAGTGGCATCAAATGATCAGAAGAGGAATAAGCATACCCTGCCTGGAACAACACCTAACGTAGGTCTACTAATATATTTTCTGAAACGCCTATCAAAAGGCCTGACTGCATCAATCGATAGGTTTTTCCCAATGAAAGATTGTGTGGTTTTTGGGAGCATTGCTACAAGAATTATAACGTGAGAGATCCTAAACTCTAGTGCATTCTTTCTGACCTTCGCCCAGGCGACACGCCATAAAATTCATTCGTATATGCCTATAGATATGGTTTCAAAAATCTTCTCGAACCGACATGGGCCCACATGAATCGATCTACACTGCTTTAATATAAAGGGATTTGTAAAGGTCAAAACCTTATTGATAGGTCACACAGACGATCTGTCTTTCCAGTTCAGTCTTTTCGGTATCTATGAAGCATATAGAGAGGTATCCAAATCTTATACTTCGAGATATTTCCCAAATCCAAAGACGGATCACGGTTCAACATATGTGTGTTCGATAAACGTTGGACTATTTTTTTTCTTTCATAGTTATCTCCCTTTCCGAAATATCATTTTCAACTTGGAACTTTGCGCTTTAGGAGGTTAAACCCATGAGGTACGTCCATATAACTATTTGCTTCTTCCTTCGAACTTATGATGCTGTATTATCATGAACATGCCATTGTCGCGAAGTCTATTGTGCACTTAACCTCCAATATCAACAACAACATCCGATCAACTCGTACTGGAAGATGATGATGACGATTTTAACGATTTCCTTTTGCCTTTAAAGCTAAGCCTGTGTATAAAGCCACGAACGGTTGTACACGCTTGTTCCTTAGACCTCGATCGCATGCGAACACACCGTACTTGTCTTATCACATCATGAAACACACTTTTAATATTCACAGGGTCGAAGTAACACGACGTTTCGTAAAATGCTGAGCCAAGATCGAATGCTAGATCTCGACCGTATGATATAGTTACTTCTCGACATACAGATCTGTCTGTTTTATTACCTGAAATACAGAAGAAAAAGAAATGTGTTTATAAAGGAGAGAGACGCCTAACAGTGTGTAATGGGTGATAGTTTGCTACTATATGCTTCTACGTTTTTCAAATTTGTTAACTTACGTAATGATAATCTTACAAATAACGTGGTTAACTAATGGGAGATAACCATATCCAAACCATCAAAAGGAAGTAATTATTGAATTGATGCGAAGACCAGCAACGATATGGTGTGTTACAGCCTATTGTGGCATACGTACACTCTTTTTCGATTCCGAATTCTCAGGGATATAAGCGGTCTTTGTTTATTATTGTATCTGAATGTAGTTTCTCAAGCAGTATCATTGACAGTGATAAACCTGGTGAGCTAACTGAACTGATCCAGACGACTTTCGCAACGTGAAGAAGAAGCTTTTACCTATTAATATTATAGGCATCTCTGACTTGTCTCTGACCTAGGCTATGAAGACAAGCAATGCCAAGTAAAAATTGCGAATTATCAAGAGATCTTTAACATCCTGGGGTACATGTGGTCACGGTTTATGGTCCCATCCGTACGACCCTTTTTTCAATGTCACTTTCCTTGACAACCAGAAACCTGGTTAGCTGGCGAGTGTTTAACTATACAGATCTATTTCAGCTCTCGCCGCGTGATTCTTGGAAATCAGTCAAGGAATTACTAAGATGTTTTTAACATACCCACTAATACTATAGGCGTCTCAGAATTGCCTCTGACCTTCTGTAGTACACCATTGATTCTTAAAGCTGATTCAAAACTAAACCTCTCACTAATAGAATAAACTAACAGGAAGCCGTCAGCTGATTGACATAATGACTTAACGATCTGTTCATCATCTTCACCCTAGAAAAGGATTTGTAAAGCTACACTGTATGTATTGAGTATTACATCAGTTCTCTTATTTTCTTCAAAATCCAAACGTTTGCTGGCAGTTTGTAGCATGTCGGAGTTATGTGCTTTGACTGAGTCAGCCAACCCCTTGTTACAAAGTGTACGTTGCTACTTACCTGAGCTGACATGCGTAATTCGAATAGCCTCACGCAACATGTGTCGCCATCTACAGTCTCCCATGTATTAAATTCAGCTCTTCTTCCTTCAAAAAGTAAAAAATGAACGATTAAAAAGAAAAATGAGTTCAACAACAGTCGGCTTAATATCTACCTTGCATTATACTTACACATACAATGCTTTTCTCATTTTAGCTGCTTGGTACGCACTTAAACATAATTTGATTTACATGTAGCTCGATGGTGTGACGATCATATAAGGGGCAACTGAAGATGGCACTTCTGTTTGTGTGCTGACTGGGTTGATCAAACCAATGTCCGCTTTTGAGTAGTGCAAAATATATAACTTGTAATGTTTATTATACCCCTTTCGCACTGCACAACTGAATTATTGAATTCGGTTATAACCGAATAGAAAAATCCGATTCAGTTCGGTTCGATTCGGTTCGGGTTGCTTTCGCACTGCAATCCTATCTGGATAGCCGCTTTCGCACTGCCGAGTCAAGTTATCTGGATAACTTTTTATTTTTAGTAAAAACATCATGTCACGTGACAAAACATTAAAAACAAATATGGACGCTGGCAATTATAATTGGAGCAACGACAAAATTCGCTGCATGCTCGCTGTCTGGGGGGATACTAAAATTCAAGATGAATTAGATGGCATGAAGAGGAATAAACATGTTTCAGATTAATAATGCCAGCTCTCATCCACCATTCAGACCTAGGTTGCACCCACAGTTGACGGGACTGAAATTCCTTGTTTATAAATAAAAAATATGAAAATAAAAACAAAAACATTTTCTGTTTCCTCTTCCGATATATACTCATTCTTTTCCTAGACAATTCGTGTACTTTATTAATCCCGTCAAATATCATTATAACGTCCCCGCCAACAGGAGCCATTTTGACACCCCACGTGATAAACTTATCCGGATAACTTCTTGTTTGGTTTCGCACTGCCACTTATCTGGATCGTATCCAGACGAAATCCACCTCTTGAGGTAGATTTTTCTATCTGGATAACTTCTGGTTATAACCGAATAAGTTTTTTTGCCAGTGCGAAAGCAACCGGAAGTTATTCGGATAGAACTCGATAGAACCGAATTACTTTTGCAGTGCGAAAGGGGTATTAGTATAATTATTCAACAAAAAAGGGGTAACTATTACCTTTTGAAGATTTCTGTAAATTTTGTCTCTCGTCATCATCAACATTAACAAAACAATTACACATAGCTGAAAAAAATTTAAGAACGTGATATAAACTCTTCTTTATTATGATGCCTTGGTATGTTCACAGAGTGTTCACAGACTGTATCATACTGTATCATACTGTACGATGTAATTACAGTTGATTACCTGGAGCTTGTGTTGCTGCTGGGGTGTATCAGCTTCGTGCAAACTATAATTTTGACTATGGCGTGTCCCAATGAACAATAATATATATATTTGTGCATCATGTAAAATTTTGTTTGACACCAAAAACTTTTCACCACGACATTTAGTTCTAACGCTTTGTTGATTTTAGACTATAATATCAAAATGTAATGTATAAATCGGAGTAAACTTGCCCCTTTAAGAAAAAAATATACTGTTATGTTTACAATGTAGAGAACGTTCTTTTCTGGTGATGTCATAGTGAGTTCAATGGCCCGTGAGTGCCACTTTCAGTCGTCAAACTAAAGTTATAAGCCGTTGTCCTGATGCCTTAAGATGATCCTCTCCCAGAATTGCATGGAATGTTTTGATACAGCCAAAAGAGCTGTCATTTTTTTGCTTTTTTGCCTTTTTGCAACCCTTGCCGAATACCTATTAGAAATGTACCTTGAGACTATCAATATGCAATCGACGAACATTGCACTTATTAAATTTCATGCCACTTTTTAACAAAAAAACAGGGTGTTGAAAGTATATCATGCCAGAAAAAAAATGGCTATAAATTAAACTAACGATGATAATTTTGTCTACTCCTGTTGTTTTGGGAACATATTTTTTTGTGTTGATGTTACCTGGGTATTGTATATCACGATGTTTAATGGTGTTGATGACATCAATGAAACAGCTGGTTTTTTGGAAATTTTTTTTAAGTACAATATTTCTACATGAAAGTATAATGTAAAGGAAATTTAGATCAGAGATAAAACTAATTTGTGAAGTGTGTATTTTAAACGTACCTGCCATCACCTGTTCAACTAGCAGTACAATCCAGGTGGTCCGTTGTCATTTTTTTATAATGAAATTTGCCACATGTACTGAATTCCCTAACTGTATTACCGCTTGTTCTAAAAACAAATTGATGATTTAGCATCATATATATATACTTGGAAGATGCAATCATGGTGGTCCGTTGTCAATTTCTTTTCTTTTACTTATAATGAAGTGCCATATTCATTGGCTATGGAATCCTATACGCCGTTGTTCGGTATTGGTTAATTTTGCAGAATATATCACCATTTCTTGGATATATAGTTTAAGCGAGGTTAGTCAGGATTTTTCTTCAATGAACCAATTCAAGATCATACTAAATGGATTATTACAGCTTTGTATTGGTTGAGCATTCCCAATTTCCCACATAACAATATTTGTTGATAGCTACAACAACTGGTCTTTGTAAATTTTCGGCATATATTTAGTAGTCGAGTAAAAAGTATTCATTTATTGCAGTAATGTAAAGATAAACACATAAACATATTGAATTATTATGGTATTTACAGTCAAACAAATATAAATCTGAAGTGAAATGACTTTTTCGGATGTGAATCGTGGTGAAAATGTAATAGCATAACAGGCAAGATTTGATTTGACATCAACAACATTTGGCTAACTAAATAGTATTATTTTGGCACTGTGCTTGGTAGAGTTACTGGCAATGGAGATCTACCTTAGTTTCGCATCATAGCTGTAACGGTAACGTCTTCGGGTGGCATACTAACTGAACATTGTTTTAAAGAATATAGTTGTCTAAATATTACATGTATGTCCCTTTAGTAGGCACCAACTCGTGCCAAAACTGAATATATGATGTCATTTGTAATATTTTGCGCGAAAATGTTGATAAGGACTTGGAAGTGACGACAGCATAAACTTATGTAGTGCGATTTTGTTGAATAGTAAGAGAGATGTGGGATTTTAAATCTGGAAAATATATGGGATTCTTTAAGTAAGCTTAATCAGCTTGTAAAGCAAATATTACAATAACAAAATGTATTTACTGTTAAAAGAGTGGTCAATAAATCGATAATGATAATATTAACAGAACATGAAAGATGTGTTACTAAACATTTCACGCTATAAGATCTTCGGACAAATGACCTATCCAATTTCAGTAGGGACGCAAGCTGAAAAAGGTTAATTAACTAACTATTATGTTAAGGAAAACATATGGAATTGACCAGAACTTAATCAAAAATTATGCAATGGTTCTTATCTGTCAAAATTTGCTAATGCAACTCAAACACATCCGTTGAAATGCCGTGAGTTATTTAAGGTATTTTATAAATCAAATTCTATCCTAGAATGTTATCCATTCAGCTACCATGTGCATTATTGAGCTAATCAAGACGCCTGGATACTATAATTTTACTTAAAGACGCAGCAACACATTCACCCTCTAGATGAATAAAAACACCGTATGTTTCATCTTCTGAAAGATTCTTTGATTTATATGGGTGTAAATGAGATATAAGATTCACAATCATAATATATTACCACCCTATATCAAAACATTTCTTATAAATGAGGCATCCAGCTATCTGCCATTGCGCTTGTAGAAAACAACCAGAAATTGTTCCGTTTTACCAGCTGAAAGTTTCAGAAAAAACTTGAAAAGTGAATAATGTTCACAAATTAAAATCGATCTATTTGTTTCACGATAAGTTACTAAGGCAACACAATTGAGGTATATGATACAAAATTTTCACAGCTTTCAAGGTAATAATCTGGGAAAGAATAATGTCAATGGTCAACGAACATGGTGGGAAGACAGGATCTTCTTGAACCTTATTTGTTAAACTAGTTTTTAAAAAAGTCATTTGTTTGGTTCTTTCTTCGTGGTTTAAGATACATCACTGCTGATTGCAAGTGAAGAAACGTAGTTGAAATCTAAACGGCAATAGGATAATCTACGATTTAAAATAACATTGTTTCGTAAACACAACAGCTAATTATCATGTATATTTGCAGATAGAGATATATCACAACCTTGTTTTACCACCCTGACGTTCAAAATTGCTAACGAATCAAGTCTGAATAAAATATAACAAACGAAGAGGAACTAACCCAAAATCACCCACCTTGGCAACTACATGAACATTAATTTAAAATAAATAACATTAAAAAGAAAGTTTAGATTACATCTTGACATACTATTAAGATAAATTGATCGTGATGCTGAGAATCTGAAAGTAACAGTATACGTAATCTTACTGAAGCTTACAAAAACACCAATAAATTCTTTACTTATCTTGGCATGATTTTGGCATAGTTTGTGACAATCACATTACATAATTTAAGTTGAATATTTTTTGCCAAACCAATGAAGATTAAGAATCGAGAACGATAAAGTAGATAGTATTTCATAGCGAAATGTGCGCATTACAGTCAGGTAAAATTTGAAAAAAGAACAGTTGCAATGCAGATTCAGAAATAATAAACCATATTCTGGAAATATTTGGGTAACGCCAAACTTATTTTCGATGTCGAAGTCGTATCAAATAAATCCGCATCAGATTAAAAGTTTTGACATTTTCTTTTCCACTCTTTACGTTTGTGGTTTTATGGCTTTCATTATCT